AATCGTTTTGGGCTTAATTATAATCCTGATGGTTTCATACTTATTTATTTTTTAGATATATATGTGTGTGGATATAAAAAGAAATTATAATTCAAGAATTGGCAATTTAAAGCCAGCTAATGAGTAGTTGCTGGTGGAAAGAGTTTGTGGTCACTGCAAAACAATTGATAGCTTATTGCCGCCCTTTGACCTTAAGAGCTTCGTCCTTGTTCTATGACATCTTATTTACGCCTATACATACATACATACATACATACATACATACATGTGTGGATATCATTGATTACTCGTTCAAAATTTCTCTTCAAGTTGGCAGTGGCGTCGAATTTGAACTTTTTTTCGAAAAAGAAAATGAAGCATGCTATATGTATGTTTCGTATGTTTGTATACTTAAGAAAAAAAAAAGAACATATTTATATATTAAGGAAGAAAACTAGTCACACAATTACTAAAAGTAAATTACTATCACTTGTTATGAGAATTGAAGAACATATAACTAACAAGTTCAAATCCAAAAAGGGTACTTAATGCATGAGCTAAAACAACAATTTTTAAACCTAATTTAATCTTAATTATTTCCAAGAGATACCATTTAATTAATTATAATCGGTTGTTTTTATTTATTTTTTCAATCAAAATGAAAATATAATATGGTGGGTAAGATTTGATTTCGCATGCCAATTAATCAATGGGGTATTAATTATGGAGCAGAAAATAATTATGCATATATAAAGATGGACATATCAAGATTATGAATTGATTGAGACAGTTAGATTGGTGCCCAAAAATTGATTAAAAATTAATTTTAAAAGTAATAAAGATTTATTCAATATGATTATTTTTACTCTGCAAAATACTATTATTACGAAGAAACTTGATATATAAGACTTACCCAATTTGGAAATCAATTTATTTATCTTTACATCACTATTAGTATTATTATATATTAATGTAAATTATTAAAATAAATTGTTAGTTAATAATTAAAAAAAAAAAAATAAGAGGTGAGTGATGAGTGTTAATTGTTAGTGGCTAAGCCGTGTGCAAATGTGATTATTACATTATCAAAATATCAAATATCCCATAATACACAAAACTATTAAAACCCTAATAATATCCAACTGCTTTTGCCGCGATTTCCCCACGCTTTCACTTTTTCACCCAAACACATATACGTACATATATATAACATATGAAGTACTACATCAGACACACACACACACACACACATATGAGTATATATATATATATATATATACACAAATGAAAGTTAAGAGTCTTTATCTTACAGTAATATTATTCTTCAAATCCTTACCTTTACATGGCCGATGACCATGATCCCAAGATTCTGCCCAGCAACGTGTCCCAATTAGACCAACCTGATCATCACGATCCCCACTCCCAAACTGCTCTTCCCAACATTCCCACGTGCGAAATCCCTGATCCCTCCAAATTCACCAACATGGCATCCTCAAGCTCCACCCGCAAACACCCAATGTACAGGGGAATCCGGCGCCGGAGCGATAAATGGGTGTCGGAGATCCGGGAGCCACGTAAAACGACGCGCATATGGCTTGGCACGTACCCATCTCCTGAGATGGCAGCCGCCGCTTACGACGTGGCGGCTTTGGCCCTTAAAGGTGGCGATGCGGTGCTCAACTTCCCGGCCTTGGTTGGAACATACCCTGTGCCTAAATCCACATCCCCTGCGGATATACGCGATGCAGCTACAGCCGCAGCTGCCCTCAAGAAACCACCAACGGCGGGTGATGATCCAGCGCCAGATCATCATCAGTACAAAGGAGAGTTCATTGATGAAGAAGAGCTGCTGAACATGCCCAATTTGCTAGTTGACATGGCAGAGGGAATGATGGTCTCCCCGCCCAGGATAAGCTTTCCGCCGTCTGATGATTCGCAGGAGAATTTTGATCACGGAGAAAGCCTCTGGAGCTATTTTTATTAACAAGTATCTTAGATTTTATGGTGTGAAAAAGGATATTGCAGCCTCTAATCTTTCTAAAAAGATGGCTGCAATCCTTGTTCGTTTTTTTTATTTTCAAACTTTTGTTTTGGGAA